AGCAGCTGCTCCAAACTCTTGTAGCCTGGACCCTGAGGAAACCACACTTGTACATTCACGCTGTCCATCTGTAGAGTTTCAGCAATTCTTGCATCCCTTAGCCAATTTCTACAAATCTGAAGAGGACTACAGATCTGACAGATGCTCATTGCCTACGGGAGGCTTGCACAAACTGCGGCCTGGGGGTTACAGGCAACTCTTGAGACCAGCAGCCAAGAGGTAGGAGCCACATACACAAGCCACCACTCATGTACGCTGGCTCTTGTGTAACAGACCTATGTGGACACTGGGGACACGAGGGCTGACTAAAAGTCTTGCAGCGGGTGGAAGCAGAGGAGCCGGGGTAGCTGACACTTCTGTACTGGGATAGGGAACACGGGAAGAAGAGCAGGATATTACCTTGCAAGGAACTGTGAACTCAAGACTTGGTAAAGGAGCATTGGACATAGGACACAAAATAAGTGTATTGCATCGTTGTCACGCAGGAGTCTTCTAAGGTAAGTGAGGGTGTGATGGTTAAGGCACAAAGCCATAGGAAAGCAGGTCTCACTGTATCTGTTGCTCATGAGTTCGCTAACATATTTTATTTGGTTCATTAGGCAGACGGGAGTGGGTAACAAGACAGACATTTATTGTGTTCACATCACCATTAAGTGATGCTAATGGTCTTTATGGGGATTTATTGCCCGGGTTATGTGGAAGATAAATGCTGTGTCACTATAGGATCTAAAACAATAAAAGTCAGTGCACAAGTCCTCCTTAGCTCTGTGTTATCTTGTAATGGAGTGAATAATCAAGCACAGGGCTATTAGAGCAAAACAACCTCCCACAAGCTTTCCTGTAAAAAATTAACAAAAAGGAAAGAGGTAAGTTTAATTAATCAGTAGTGCTATCTTTAGACCCACTACAGGAGTCCTTTACCACAAGCCATTGGTGATGTCAAATTCCATATAAAATCTCAGTACAATTCCCTGCAAGTTGTAGGTTCTCAGCATTTCTTGGCAGATCTGGACTCTGATATGAGGCAGTGGCACTTTCTCAACTGACCTGCAAGGCATCTACAAAAACCTCTGCTGACACTCCATGCTAAAAGCCACAGAAATTTTGTGTTTGTCCTCACTTTGTCAAAATGAGTCTTTCACATGAAAATCCTGGCCAGGTGTAAGGTAACAGTTTATACCCCTTCATCTCTTCCAATATCCCGTGGAAGATGAGCCTCATTAGCACTGTGAAGGATGTATCAATTCTTACCCAGGTTTCTTGGAAGTTCTTACAACTATTTCCTCTTCTTCTCTTCTTTCCTTAAAAATAATTTTGTTTTCCCTCTACCCACTTTACATGGATTCCTGTTCTCCCATTAGAGAAGTTTCTTTGTATACTCTGCTTTCTAACAAGTCTTTATTTCCTTACCTAGCCACATTATAAACTTTCCCTTCAACTCTCCAGTTCTCTTCTGAGCCTTCTCCTGCCAATCAAGCTGACCTGAAAACGAGATTCTTTCCTGTCATATTTTAACCTGAAAGGTGCCTCTCTACTGAATTAGAGGATGGGATTGCAGTCACCTAGAATTACAGAAATCCAAATACTGTTAGAGCGGCAAACCTTCTGAGAGTCAGGAGATGCTTTTGAAATAGGGCTGCGTATAGACTGCAGATGGTGGTGTTACTTGCAAACGTAACACTATAAGAGCTTTCCATGCAATTCAGTATCTTTGAACAATTGAATCCTGCTACCACTGAATGACTAGAACTCTTAGTATATCTCGTTGACTCAAAGTAAATGACTCGCAGAACAACCAGAAGAAAGAGAAATTATGGTGGAATTCCACGTTTTCATTTTTAAAATGTGTAGATATATAGTCTAGAACTTCCCACCTAATTCTGCATCATTCTGCTCAAAACTGAGCTATAAAGACTGTCCAGTTGCACCATTACCACATGCCACTATGAAATGTTGCACCTATTTCACCTGTAATACCATAATAACTAATAGTTTTGGCTTCTCTTTCTAGTCTCTGCTATTAACTTACATTTTAAGTAACGATAGCAGTTACCACAGCCTTGCAAATATCCCTGGATTTATTACCGGCTTTGCTTCCTCTGAGGCTTCCTTCTCCTTTCACAGCATCTTCCATATTGTCCTTTACAGGTGAACGGCTGCAGTTTCCCTAAGTCAGGCCCCCTCTTCCTCCTCAGTCAAATCTCTTCATTTCACAGCATTTCCGGAGGTTAATTCACAAGCGGAGAAGCATACTCTTCGTACCTACACAATACACAAAATGGAATTCAAATCACCTCTAAACTTTTTTTAGTGTAACGGGCCTCTCCTCTGTGACTTGCTCAGCTGCAGCCCTCTGAAGTCACTCATTGCAGGGCCACACTGTTAAGGTACAGAAGCAAAGATAAAGTACAGGAGCAAAGGAAGACAAAAAATGGACTATATGTTAGATTTGGTTTAGGCTATTACAAGCTTTTAGCAGCGAAATTTATTATGGCAGAAGACTGACTACTCTGGCACCAACCTGTCTGCTACAAAATACTCTAGGACATGTAATTGTGTGTTTGAGTATAAAATCAACAGTATTCAAATTGTTTATATTTATATGCATTTCATCTGGTTGCCCTTCCTTTATAATTTTAGCCAGCTATTGCTGTCAACTGTATAATTTCCTCTTGGACTGTATCTGCTTATGCCAGTGGCAATGGTTACTCATCATGTACAAGAGTTTACAGACCACGTCATTGCAAACTGTGTCCGTCCTCACCATTTATTTTTCATGAGCCCCTTTTAAGTCCAAAATAGAACTAGTAGCAGAATTAGACCCATAATTAAAGATCTTTCATTGGCTTAAGTGGGAGTTGGATGATAGGAAATTCTGGTCCTGCCAGACTTTACGATTGCTGATACAGAAATTCATATGTACTAACAGTTTTCTTCTCATAAGTACCTTAGGTAGAAAGTCAGCTCTGCACCTGGTTTGTGCTCTGCACCTTGCTTGTGATTCTCAAGACAAGAGAATCCTTTTTTTCCTTTTTCCTCTACCTAGACAGAAAGAGGAAAAGTTGGACAATGAAAAGGCACACTGCTCAATTTCAAACAATGATTCCCAAGTAGCCTCCTGAAGAAGTCTGGCTTTTTCGACCAAAAAAAAAAAAAAAAAAAAATTGATTGGTGTATTATATAAACACAAAAGCAAAGTAAAAGCAAAACATGTTGTCTGCTGTTTATGATTTTTTTTATATATGTATGTATACACACAAGTAAAATTTTGAGATAATGTGGGGAAAAAATCATATGCTGGAACCCAAATCTCCATAAAGAGATAGTAAGCAAGTAAAGGGAAGAAACAATTTATCCATTTACATTTTACAAGCCATTCTGCCATGCTTATTCCATGAAAGAGTGAATTTATGCCAAAGTTTCTATGAAGTCGACATTGAAAAGCACTTTTAGAATGAAAGCAGGCGAACGCTGTTACTTTAGCTTTTCCAAAAACAATGCCATTTTCAAATGTGGATATGTACATACCCATACACATGATCTTCAATTTTTCACTCTCTACGTAGTGAAGCGTCCACACAATCATTTAATGCTGCATGTTAGAGCAATTTTAATTCTTTGTTGCAACACTTCTGAAGTGTTGTAGTACAGTTCTTCATTTCATCAGACCATGAGTGTATCACTGAGGATCCAGTCTATCTCAGCACAAACTATTTCAAGACAGATGCATTCCACTTTTTTGTTTCTGCAACCTGTTTCATATTATTTACAGAACTGTATAGAAATATCCTCAACTATAGGACTACATTGATGTCACAATTAAAAAACCACACATAGATGACAGTATCTCAATGTATGCTGTAACATAAGAGAGAAAATGAACTCAGGCTATTAAAAAAAATTTATTAAGATTTTTTTCCCCATGAAAGATTGGTACTACAATCAATGTAACCATTTAATCAGTCAAGTATGTCTGTTATGGGCAGGCACAACATTACAAAACAGGCAAGTACAATGCCCGATTAAGCGAATACAGTCTGAATATCTATTCATCCACTATTTCTGAAAACAGAATTATCAAATATCCACCAGGGAAAAAGATGAACTATTTTAGTTTCTCTTTGGCATACTTATCAGGACAATGAATTAATTACAAAAGTCTTCTATTGCTGCCAGTGCTGTGAAGAAAAAAGTACTGAATGGAAGATTGTATGTCAGAACTCACTTGTAGGACTCAGGCGATCTGGCTAATGTATCAGAACTGGTGACAAATGACAGTTCAGCTGCCAATGCTTCACAAGGCAGACAAGGATTACATTGTTTTATAATGCAAGTTTTGTTGAAGGTATAAAAAGAATTACAGTAAATTTATGCACAGTACATACATATTACACACAGTTATATAAATACCCATGCTGTGGCTGGACTTTAGGAAGTTGCTTTATCAATAAGAAAGCTAGTATCGGACCTCCCAACATCCATTTAATACACATTGCACTTCGCATCCAGTAATATGTTCATTTCTGTACCTCTCTTAAAAATAGATTTAAAACAGAAGCGAAGAATAATATCGAATCTTTCCATAAACTTTGTTTTCTTATTTACATTGTAATATTCCATTATACATAAAGACTGCATTAGGATACATTATCTTCATATAGCTTTTTGTAATACATACAGCTTGAAGCTATTAACATCTTAGTTTGGGAACAGATATGACCTATAAGACTATTTAAAAACAATTCTAGCCTTAATTTTGCTCTAGTTTGTTTCACTGAAACCATTCTTTGACAAAAAAAAAATCCTCCTTATTGGGGAGGAAAAAACCAACCCATGTTTAAACCACCTCTGGATTTCCTTAAACCACTGAGAAACTTAGAAACCATAATCATTTTTGCATAATTATATAGCCACTTCAAAGGCCTGTTACTTTTAAATTTAGAACATGAATGACAATTGTGACCATATCTTTAAATTAATTTTTTTTTTTTGAACTTTCAGTTATTTTTCAAACATAAAACAATGAAAACGCAATCATTAATCATACATAATCTTTGCACAACTGGGAAGAGTTCCTATTTTATTAGGGAAAAAATGAACATGCACACACCCCCATTCACAGAGTGAGAACATAAACTACAGCAGCACTTGTCTCAAGTTATGGTGCACATGGTTGCAATACGGGGTATAAAACAAGAGTAGAATTTCCAACATCTGTTAAAACACAAAAAACTTTTTTGTACAAAACATCATTCACATTCTTTGCAATGAAGTGAGGAATCAGCTGTTCAGCTTTCTGGACTCTCCAGCCGGCAAACTCCTCCTTCTATTGCCACGGACTGTCCTGCCACGGCTCCAGGAGGAAGTCTTGAAATGTGAGTCTGTAGAAAAGCCAAGAGAGTATTACCAAGTGAGAAGAGAGGCAAAATTATGCAGGACACAAAGCAAGCTTGTAAGTATTGGACAATTAAGCTGTTCCATCACTGAATTCTGAGGGCAAACTACAAAGCAACTTGAAAAGCTGCAAACAACTGGGATTCTTCTTTTATTTTGGTTGTGTTAATGTTTAACGCATGAAGAGAAGGACCATGACAGATGTGTAGAAAAGGTAAACTGGATGACCCAGTGCACTGGAAGCAGAAGAAAGGAATATCCAGCGTGAAGACAAAAGAAAAATAACTGTGGCATTCCATGGTTTGTAAGTCTATTTCTTAGGGAGATTCAAAAATGTTTAGTGCTGCATACTGAAATATACCTTAGAGAAATCTTAGACACAATAAACTATTTGACAGAGATAAACTAACACTTCAGAGCATAAGGCAACTGCAATGATCAGGATGCAAAGAAGAAATTCCTCTGCATAAAATACCTACTCGTCCACCTAAAAAAACCCCAAAGACTTCCTCTAAAATGTTTGTTGCCAACTGTCAAATAAACGGACCCAAAGAGCAATTGTGTTTCTGTCAACAGGCATCTTTTCCATGAAGAAGTTTTAAAAGCAGGCCTTTGAGATGGCTCTGTAATATTTCAGCCAGAAAGTAAAAGCCAGAAAGTGGGCGCGTGTGTTTGTGTACGCAAAACTTCAGCTTATAACTCTATTGTAACTCAGTGACACTGAAAATCTGTTAAAGATCCTTTACATTCTGAGGTGCATTTTATTACTGATGGGCAAAAGTATTCACTTATGAAAAGATACTTTGACGTATTTCTGAAAGTAATGACGGTTTTTTCCCCCCCTTGCACACGTTTTTATACTGTGAAAACTGCTTATGTTTTCATCCACACTGTTGATTTTGAGCTACAGCAAGAGCTATTTACAGATATATCGATCTGCTTTTACCAAGTGGCTAAAGCAGTGTTTAAAGAGAACAACAAAAGGAGTCAGAAGCGTGTTTCTACAAACTTTACTCTTTCCTGCTTTCGGAGCTGCTGAGCGGGCTCTGGTAAAACATTAAAAAGAGCCTTAGCGGACCTCCAAAATGCAAGAGGGCTGATAACAGCATTTCACAGCCTTGAGGCAGAAAGTGGCAATGGCAGGGACTCACCAGCTCAAGCTACGCTCCAGCCATCCCTCCCACCGAAGCAGGAGCGCTGGCCTTCATTCCCCTCATGAGCTACAAGTTTCACGAAGTGATTCATTAATGCTCAGACAATATAACGCTTAAACAATTATTAAATTAGGAACCAGAAATGATTCGTACTACGATATAAAGCTCACAACACAGAAGTTGCTGGCATTTAGAAATTACAGCTTCCTGTAAGTGCAGCCAACTACATATTTAAGTTTTTGTACATACATTATCTCATTTAAAAGATTTAAGTGCTGCAAAATGTGTAACTTGCAATGAGGCAATGGCTTGTGACAAAAAGTATAGCTGTAGAAGTTCAGTAAGAATAACTTGCATCAACTGAGCAGAAAGTGATTTGAGACTGTAACCACAACTCATTGCATCGAAGAGACATTTTGTATCTCAGAGGCAGCTTCTTTTCATTCCTTTCTTGATAAGGGTATCCTGGTGTCTGCTCTTAGGTGGTCTTGTTTTCAGTTAAATTACAGAATGAGATTTAATTAAAAACATTTAAAGGTTTTCATTTTACTGCTAAAACTTTGATCTCTGGCCTTCCTGCTTGATATATGAACATCTTCCTACTTTCAGAACAATTTTGGTTACAACTGTGATTTACCACTTCAAGAAGAAAAGATTCTTTTCAAATCTGTTACAGTTTCCCCCAAAATGTAACTGACAATTTTTGGAGATGTTATTTTGTAAGTTTAAAGAAAAGGGGGGGGAAAAAAAAAGGAAGAAAAACAAGCAGAAGAAGGATATTTTTTATTTTATGACTGACAGTCCCAAGACATTTTTCCAGGTCTGTGAAAATTTCTAAATGAAAAGTGGGATCGGATGACAGTGTAAAAGCAGCATTGTTCCTCAGTGGAAGAATGCCACTGATTGTTTAGTGAGATACCGCAATCAAAGCAAACCAGTGGTCAGCTCTAAGGCAGGCAAAATTTATAAGTGAGATTGCTTATACGGTGATCAGTCAGAATTATTAGCAGATCATTGTAGCAATACAATAAAAAGCACAGAGGCCCAAGGATGCTGCCAAGAGGCCTAAGAGAGGAAGGTTGTTACTGAAACAGAAGAAATATTAGCACTATCATGATTATCATGAATCTTATAATCAATTTTTTTCATTATAACAACAACAGACCTGATCTGTGTAAATTAGTTTTCCGACCCAGACCCAAGTTATGAATTAACCTTTTGCATAGGCTTGACTTATCCCACAACCCAGAGATAAATGCCTAATGGACCCTTATGTAATTGCAGGAGCAAACTGTGAGGCTTCATTGAATCCACATGAAATTTATAGATCCTGTTATTTTTAAAAGTTAGTTAAGCATGATATCCTAGTAAGTTTTTGAGCAAGGAAAGGAAAGTATACAAGAGGGGATAAGCAGATAGTCAGTATCTATCAATACGTTACCAAGTAGCTATGCTTAAATAGCTGTCCAAAACACATTTCCTATACAAAAACTCATTTCCTATAAAAGGAAGAACGTATTTCCCATACAAAAGCCCCCAAGCCACTATACACTAGCATCTGTACATTTCCATTTACAGAAACACCCAAACCACATATAACAAAATCTTTCTTAAAGCCTTTACTTGCATCCTGTTTCTTTGCATACTTTGTATGACAGAGCAAATACAGATGCTGTTTTACACTACTTATTACTTTCACCAATGGCTGCCTTATGTAGAACAAAAATGAGACAGATCTAAGATGACAGTGTTTAAAATGTTATCTAATAAGTAATATGAAAGGATAACATTGCCATGTCAAGACAACTTCAGATAAACTCCCAAGTTAATTCTTACAATTATATCTCCCTTGTTCTTAGCCATAAGAACAAACTCTAGTAAATAAAAAGAAAGATCAAAGAACATTTAATATTTTTAAATGCAACCACAGAACTTATTTGTACAGTTTGTTACATTATTATATCCCAACATCATATTTTACATTAAGTCCAGATTGTACAGGGGATTAGGTTTAGATTTTTAAAACATAAAAATAAAAAGCAAACAAAAAAGAACAACACTGGAAAGCTTTTAATTGAATTCGATTAGTCCATCAGCTTTACAAGTTGAATGAACCCACATCTGGGGGAAATTGTGCCTGGGAGCACAAAAACAGGAAAAGAAAAAGTTTTCCTGAATTAATCCTCCACTCAGCTTCATGGAAGCCTCTCTTTGAGGAAACCGTATGCCAAGGAAAGGTAGATTAAGAACGACAGGGCTATCCATATCTTCAGCTCCATAAATAGAAATTTTACTGTCCCTGAGAATATTCTGATTTGATTTGCTTTCCTAGAGAAAAGTGAGGTTGGTGAGGGCCTAGTAGGAGCAGAGGTCCTGACAGCTAGGAAACCAGTTAGTCACCACACATCTTTGTCTGCAGCTTAAAGGAGGAACCTCGTGCCCACAGTTCAAAAGGAAAAAAGGTAAATGCTAGATGAAATACTTGATTTTGCTTCCCACCCCTCCATAAAGCACAGACAAGCCAACCAACCTTCAGACACTGATTCTTGCTCCATGTACTTGCCATCCAAACACACAACGTCTCCCTCTTTCCCCCCTAACCAAACCAAACCCACGGAGCAACCAACTCCCCCAACCCCAGTGCTGCAGACACTGCCCGTGGAACGTTACTATCTCTCAGTCCCTTTTGACGCACGCTGGAAAGTTTCCCACCACCCTTCAAGTCCAAAACTAATAGGTCTTTCTGCCCCGGAGTAAGTGTTAACTGCTACAGGGACAATATAAGGTTTCATCTTTCTGTCATGAACACTTGATCTACTTTTCAAGTTATGTATTTTTAGTATACCTTTAAAAAAAAATAAAAAATAAATACAAGTTGTGCCAAGACTTACTTTACTTCATGTCTCATAGACAAAGATTCCGAAACAACCCTGAGACCAATTAATAAGGAAAAGATTTTTCTTTAGGATTTAAAAAGCTAGTCTCCTCCTTTTATTCACATAAAAGTATTAGTTTGTCACAACAGCTTCCTTTTTTTTTTTCATTAAAAGCATAAATACCATGTAAAATGAATATAAAGTTTAAGCCAAAAGACAGACAGTGCTGCATGAGAAAACTGAAGTCAATCAAATGCTGCCAAGAGGACAGAGTACAACTACCAGATGGCAGCACATTCAGTTCTTAAGCAAATCTAGGGAGTGGTTCGTGTGTTTAGCTTTCTTATTACACGCTCAGGATGTGCTTTAGACAGAATAATTTATAAAACAAACTTTTTCCATTCATTACCCTATTGAGATGAAATACAATGAAAGACCAAGGACATCATATACTTAATGAAATTGCTTTCTACCACCTTACTCCTCAAAGAAAAGTACCACCAAACCCATATGTTCTTTAGAAATTCAGAATCACTCAGAGGTCTACAAGCTTTCTAGCTGGGTACACGCTTCCATCATGAGAACCATCTGGCTACCTATTCTCAATTTATTTTCGAGGCAGTAATACCCCATTTTGGCAGCAATAGCCATCCTCTGCTGCCCTGTCTCCTGGGGAGCTTTCCTCCAACATGGTTTGAATGTACACCTGCCACATGACAGGAGAAGGTGCCCTGCAAAATACTGGCAACTGCTGCTATCAGAATATCCCATGCGCAACTCATTTGGTGAAATCTTAAAAAAGAAACATAAAAGGGGCAGGGGGGGGCGG